AACTAGCTTAATTCCACATTGAGAATTTTTAAGTGTTGACATCAAATGCCATTTTCACTAATGTATCACTTTTATTAGAATAACTTTTGTCCATAAAACAAGGCACTCATAAATCATATCTCAACATAAACTCCCACAGAATTCACATAGGACATGTAGAATCTTTATTTCAATTCAGCAAATTGTTAGTGCAACTTTATAGTTGTTTATTTTTTGATAGCTCACCAGTGTATTCAATAAACTAATCAGATGCATTCCATATAATCCTGTCATCTAAACTTTAAAAGACAGTATATGGGCATTGCCTGCTCTCATAATAGGTAAAAAGACAAGGAAAAACTGATTTATCTGACTTTGTCTATTGTATCTCAGCTCCCAGGGGAGAGGGGACAGTTTGTAGGGAAATAGTTCACATTGAATCAAGATCATTATTTTGAACACCAGAACTGAGCCATGCTAAAAAACATAAACCTTAATTGCATATTTTGGTTTTAGTATTGTATTACACACACACACACACACACACACACACACACACACACACACACACACACACATATATATATATATAACCTTAGAAAATACCAAATTTTTAAATTTAAATATCCATTACAGTTTGGTTTCTGTTACCTCATTCTTTGTAGCTGAAAAAATAAAAAGACCACCCCATTTCTTATTGAAGCAAAGGAAAAAAGTGAGGAAAGTAACAAGAAAAAAGCTTTTCAAAGGATCCTGAAGTTTAGAAACTGGGCACAAGCGCCGTTCCCGCCGGGTAGTGTCTGGGGCAGAGCGCGCTGTGTGCGGGCGTCACGTGCTCAGAGCGACTGGGCGTCGCGGGCTTTAGCTATATTTTTGATGTTTTAAAAATTCAGTTTAATGTGGTCGTGTGATCCATATTTATCTTTTGAGGGTGACTGATATTAAAATATTCAGAGCATACTATAGTACAAGTATTATGTCTTTTTCCTGTGGTTGACTCACAAAAATCCAGTCATTTTTAAAAACTAGTGTGATTCAAATAAGAGGTAACTAGGACAAGTGTGTACTTTTAAATACACTCAGCCCTATTTATATCTTAATATATTATCTAGATAAAAACAAGACTAAACATTTATTAAATACTCTCTAGGTGCCAGGTAATTAGTTAAGGTTTTTGTGTGGATTATATAATATTTTTGTTAGTTATTTTCCCCTTCTACAAACCTGTTAAGCCCCAAGTAACACAGCATATTTATACTATGAATATGAATCCATACTGAAATAATAACCTTAATTTAAATTTTACATTTTCTACTGTATTCTATATGTGCTAGATTATACATATACTGTTATAAGACATATTTATAAGGACTGCTTTAAAGTGGACCATACATATAAGAACATAGAAAGGTAATTTGAATGTTATACATTTTCCAAATGGGAGCTTTTTATTAGTTTTGCCATAATAATAATAGTACCTTAAAGTCCTCCTATGTTTATACCACATTTTATTCTTCAGACACATGGATAGATACTCCTTTAGACATGTGGAGTAGATACTAATTTTCAATGAGGAAAATAAAGACAGAGAACAGTCAGTTGCACTTCTAGGTGCTTTTCCTCTGGGCCATACTCATCAGAATGAGTTCTAACAGTGCAAATGTACACTATTAGTTATAGTCACAAGACTTTAAAGATGTGTTCAGCCAGGTGCTCTAACTCCGCCCACCTTACCTGCTTGAATGAAGACATGTGTACTGTAACAACACTTTTAAAAGTGAGTGTATTTCCTGAGAGGAGTTGTCTGTTTTATATGCAGTTACGAATCACTTCTGTTTCATCAAACTGTAAAGTGATTTTGAATGTGAACTAATATTGGGCAAGTAGTGAATAATGTTAAATTGTAGGGGTAAATCCATAAAGAAAGACAAGCTGTGATTTTGAGCAACTATGCCTTCATGATTTAAAATGCTGTTTTCTTAAGCAATATGGAACAATTCTTATTTCCTCTGAACCTTTGATTATATGTAATCGTTCTTTTAGGTTTAGCATTTATAAATAATTGTAGCTTGGAATTAGAGATCATGTTTTCAAGACAGGAAGAAAGTTGCACATCATATTGGAGTTTTGATTTATTATATTATGTAATTACATAATTTATTATGATATAACCTAGACTTTAAAAAATTATTTTCTGCTTTAAAAATTCCTCACAAGGTCTTTCTTAGGATTCCTTCATTCCTCTCTAAAATTAGCAATTAAATTCAGTTTCAACTATTTGGCAAGTGGGACCACGTCTTTCTCTTCCTGAATTGTGTTTAGATTAACTTTAAACACTTGCCTTGCAGAGGAAATAAACTTTCCATTCTTAGGGAAAATTGTTAAACTAAAAGATGGACAATGTAATTCTCAAATGAGTTTAAAGAACTGATGGCCTAAATGAATGCGAATTCTAATTTACTTACTATGAGCTTGGCTACAATCTCATAGAGCTTGATTAATATGCATAGTTCTTGATGCATATGCATATGCATTTTGTACAGTATTGCTTCCTTAAATCTCCTGTTATCTTTATATAGGTAAATTATACCCCCTTAAGCCCTACTCTGTTGTGCATTTAAGGAAAGAAAAGATCAGTATAGAAGATTAAGAGGTGAACCACAGATAGGCAGAATATAACAAATCAAACACATATATCATTTGAGTGTATATCTCTGTATATGTGTGTATCTGCAATATATATATATAGATGAGGGTGTGTAAATAGAGATCCAGAATATATAAAGGACCATTACAACTCAATAATAAAAAGCCAGGCAACCCAGATTTTTAAAAAAATGGGCAAGAGATTTGAAAAGATACTTCACTAAGAAAGACATATGGATGGTCAAAAAATGTATGAAAAGACACTTAAAATCATTAGTCATCAGGGCATTAGACATTAAAACCATTATAAATACAATTAGATACCTACCCAGTTGAATGGCTAAAATTTTAAAAGACAATCCTATGTGCTGATGAGGTCAAACAACTTCAACTTTCATGCATTGCTAATAGAAATATAAAATGGTACCACCATTTGAAAAACATTTTTTCAGTATTTCACCCACACCCAACAACATTCTCATTGCTTTCTATAGAGAGAGGAAGGAAGAGAGAGAAAGAAAAAAATATCAGTGTAAGAGAGGATCATCTACTGGGGGCCTTGTTATATGCACCCAGTCTGGGCATCAAAACCCTCAATTTAGTTGTGTGCCCTAACTGGGAATTGAACCTGCAACCTTTTGGTCTATGGGATGATGCTTCAACCAACTGAGCCACACTGGCCTGGGTAGCAATTTTTTAAAAAATTAAATATATACTTAGCATATAACATCAATCCTACTATTAATTATTTGTCTAAGTTAAAAAATGAAAATTTATGTCTCCACAAAGACTTGAACTCAAGTTTATAATAACTTTGCTTATATGATCCAAATCCAACCCAAATACCTATCAGTAGAAGAATAGATGAACCAAATCTAGCAAATCTGGTACAATGAAATACTATTCAGTGATAAAAAGGAACAAGTTGCTGATACTTGCAACAACGTGGCTAATTGTCCAAAACTTTATAGTGAGCCAAAGAAGCCAGACACTCTGTCATTCTGTTTGCATGATACGCTAAAGACACATCTACTAATGGCCCAGGGTGAGAGCAATTTACTGGAAAGGGAGATGGTATATTTTGGGGTAATGGAAATGTTCTGTATCTCTATCAATGTACTGTTTACAGGTTTATACATTTGTCAAATTTATCAGCCTGTACATTAAAAATAGATGTATTTTACTGTGTGAATTATACCTGAATAAAGATGAAAATTTTAGTATTTATAAATTCTACTTATAGTATATTCTTAAAGGAAAATAGCTCAGATAATAAAACAGACATGCAAATATAATATCAAAAGTAAGTCCTGTTTGAAACTTCATAAAAGTCTTTCCAAAAACCAATGAATTATTAACATCTAAATATAAAAATTTGGACATTTAGTGTATTTGTACAGGGAATGTGGAGTATTTCATTTAAAATTTTAATTGAATGTAGCAATATATTGTAATCATAGGAAAGCATCAGTTAAATATAGAAATAGCTAAGTCACATACAAAGTAGTGATGTTAAATAATATATAGAAATTATATCACAAAAATATTTTATTTGTATTTTTTAAAAAATAGAACCATATGTTAGTGTGAAAAGATGTTAAGTGAGTATTAATTTGTTGAGCAAAACACATAGTATTAATGAGGACCTACTATAGGGGACTGTGCCTTGCAATAGATGACTTTCCTGGTTTTTCCTTTATACTTTTGTTCCTACAGGAATTAATACAAACGTATTTCCCTTAGTCCCTTTATTATTTGAAGGCATATTCCTCCTTATACCATCTTTCTCCAAAAGAAGTTAGTTAATTCCCTGCTTGTCCTCATTTTAGTTTTTCATTTTAAAACCAAAAACATCCCACCTCCATTAGTTTCCCCTTTTTTTTCTTTATATCCAAAGTTATAGTAACTTAGCAAAAAGTTAGTACCTCCCTCTGTATATATGTATCCACCTAAGGTATGCTATACCTCAAAAAGTTTTCAAGCAGTTTTTGCTTTATAAGGATGACATTGTTATGGAAATCTTAAGTTCAGTAGTACAGGAAATTAGGTGGTTGCTTCCATGCGTAGGGAATCAAAAACGTGTAAAGTACTGTTGAATGAATTACATTTGTTTTCTCTTCTCCCAAGGTAACATTTTTTATGATCATGTATTTCTCTTTCTTTCCCTTTGGGCTGCTGCGAAAACCACCCTAAATGGCTCAGTTAACCTCTCCTGCCACCCGGGCCTGCCATTTAAAGTATGGCGGTGATGCTACTACTTTTTTGAGGCTTCCTGAGCCCTGATGAGATATCAAGCTTGGTAATTGGTTACTTTTGTTAGCTCTCCTATTTATGAGACAGTCTAACTGTATTAGCCTTCTTTAACCTTCCTGCAGATTTGTTATTGGGCGAGAAAAACCAGGACAAGTGAGTGAGGTTGCGCAGTTGATAAGCCAGACGCTGGAACAGGAGAGGCGCCAGAGAGAACTGCTGGAGCAGCACTACGCCCAGTACGACGCAGACGACGACGAGGTAGGCAGCCCGGCGCTCTCCTCTTCCCACGTTTCTTCTCGCCAGGTTCCTTCTTTGTAAAACTCTGTTTACTTTATAACAGTAGGAGAGATTCTTTGCAGTTTCCCAAGGAGAATGTGGCTACATTCACCCTCACCGGAAATAAATATTACTCAAATTTGTTATTCATTTATGAATCAAGTAATGGTATTATGTTTACAGTGTGAAGACGTTGGAATCAAAGGTATCATCTCATCACTCTATGAAAATAAATTCATTGAAACAAAGAAAAGTTAAAGCACCAAAATGTCCATAGTAGCTGTCTTTAATGTTCGAATTGGGTGATTTTTCTTTCTCAGCTTTATGTTCTTCCAATCTTTACCAAATTTTCTATAAGTATAATGCTTTTTCAAGAAAATCCATAAACATTTTGTGTGAAAAAGCACACATACAACACAGGAAAATACTAAAAAATCACTGAGTGTTTTCTTTTTTCCAGGAAGAGAAAGTTCTTTGGATCCGCTCACTATGATTTGTGCTAACATAATGCAGAACAAAGCTTTTCCACCAACACATATTCCATAGAGTAGATACATATTGGAATAATTTTGCATCCTGTTCTCTGTAGAAGATCAAGTAAATGAGTAGAAGCTAACCCCCAAGTGAAAACGGCTGTCCGGAACCCTTGTGTGGAGTAATCTAACACAGATGCTGGCCTATTTCTAATGTAAACGCCAAACATGCATTGATGTCATGGGACAACGCGCTTTATTTTAAAGCTGCATGTGTTTCATATTGGCATGTCAAAAGATCCGTCAGCAATTTAGTTGTAGTATTTCATACTCCATTAGCATAGTGAAATTCAAGCAAAATAATTATTCTTTATTTCAGCTGGTATAAGGACAGTACAACTTAATATCTTCAACTTCTACTCATTTGAATTTATTCTTTGTCCAGAGCTTTTTTTGGTTTGTAGCCAGGATGTAGTGAAGGTTAATAAACAGATATTCAAATATTTTTCATGTACCTTTAGTTTGGAATGTTTTAGCCCAAATATATTTTAGTCTTTTCATTTGCTTGTAGTATAATGAGGATGTAATCTCCATCAATTGCAGCAGGAAATTTACAATGGCGCATTAGTTAACTTTCAATCAAAGAGTACACATTAGAAAGTCTTCACGTGAATGATTAGTCTCCTAGAATTCTATTTAGTTGATTTAGTTTTTTTCACTTGCAGAATTCATTTGACATGGTGCGTATTTTTTCATTATACTGAGATATTTTGTATGGAAATGTTATCTTGGATTTAGAAACTGAAAGAGTGATTACTGAAAGAGTGATATTTGAACTTTCATCTTACCTAGTTTTTCCATCTTCTGCGCTAGTGTTTTGTGTTTCAACAGAGATACTGATTTGCTTTGACTACAAGTCTGTTTTAGGGTCATGGAATCATTCTCTGCAGGTCTGGTTCTTACCTGCTCGCTTTGCTGCGAAGGATTTGGGTCTGAGGTCCGGGGTGCGTGGCTCATGTCAGGCAGTGGAAGCTGAGGAGACCCAGCTTTCCAGTCTCTGTGGGCCCCCACGTCTCTGGCCACAAAGCACAGGGATTGGGCTAAAGTCTCAGTTCTTTCCAGCTTCTAATATTCCATGAGTCTCTGAAATAAAGCATCTGGTCTAACAAAGAAATAGGGAAAATCAAATAGTTTTTAAGGTTCTCCAAGTGAAATTTTTAGATCCCATACTACTACATATTTCTCAGGTTATTTTGACGAATTGATCATATTCATCCCCAAAAGTTTTCAACTCAAGCAGATAAAGCTTTATATATAAGTGTATAAATGAGGGGGTACCCCAAGATGGAATTTATTTATAAAAAATTATGTATTTTTACATGTCTAAGCATCAGTCACCTTCAGCGTACTCTCCATTAGACACAATATACCTACCAAGTTGTTTTGTCCACTGCTCAAAACAGTTTTTGAACTTGTCAATTGTGATGCCTTTCAGTGCTTCTGCCGTCTTTTGTTTCAACACTTACATTGGCAAAACATTTTCCTTTTCATCCAGGGAAACAAAAAGTTTCTTGGGGTGAGATCAGGTAAACAGGGAGAGTGGGGTACAGGGGTCATGCCATTTTTGTTTAAAAACTGTTAACACTCATTGTGGTATGGGCAGGTGCTCCTGTAAATCACCCATCATGAAATGGGCAAATACATGTGAAGAGTCTTCAAAACAAATTCACTGAAGCCAAACACAGCCTCTCACAACAATGCCAGTTGGTACACTCATAACAGATGGGTTCCTAGAACACTCACCTAGTAAGGAAAGCCTGTACTAAAAGGGGCCCGCCCTCTAGAAGATAACTCAGTTTCTTTTTGGCTCCTTCCTCATATATACACACAATTTTCTCTAATGTGATAATGAGTAAATGCAAAAGAAATATTTGTTCCTCAATATTTGCACTTAGAAAAGCATCATATGGATTTTTCTTGCCTCTTTTTATAAGGAAAGCAGAGTGGATTGTCACTTAAAGTAGATATTTTCAGCAGGAATGGAGGTAAATAAATATTCAGTGTCAGGCACTTTGCAAGGTGCCTTTCCCACTTGATTTTGTGTCATCTTAGGGCAAACAGAGAGGTTCTCTTTTCTCTCTCTAGAAATGCAGCAACTGAAGCTTTTCCTAGTGGTACAGCTTGTAGTTGGCACGTTAGGATGGGGAGAGGGTTTTCTTTGCTCCAAAGCCTGGCCCCTGCAACCCACTGCATTTTGTGGTGGAGCGGGCAGCTGGGTCCGTGTGTATTCAGGCGCACGCAGAGTAACTGGCTGACAAGAAATGTCGCTAAGAGGATTCTTGTTTAAAGTGTTGGAATATCTTGTAGTACTTCGGTTCTGTGACTCTTTGTTTTTTTAATAATAAGAGAATCAAATTCTTGAAGGGTTTCTCACTCTAGGTAAATACTTAATCCTTAAGTATCCTAAGAAGACAGGGCTTTAAGGGAAGAATAATTGAGTATACAAATATTTTACAAAAAATAGAGTTTAGCTTTAGGTTAAACTTTTTCTTCTGTCTGCAAGTTATAGAAATAGGAGTCAGATGTTTGCCACCGTGCCGTTCCGAGCAACCTTCGCTGTACCGACCCGGTCCAGCGGCCTTTGCCGCTGCCTCTGTCCCTCGTGCTCCTCTCCGACTCAGGTTTCTCTCTCCCCTGCTGCCGCCGCACGACCTAGCCCCAGATGCCCAGCTAAAACCAACTGCAGATTTTCTGTGCATCAAAGAGACGGAAGCTGTCCAAAGAATGAAAATTCACTCTTGTGTAAATACTTCAACTTATCCACATAACTTAAATTCATTTTTTTACTAATGCAGCCTACTATTCTTAAATTGATTTAAATGTTATGCCTGTATTTCTTATTTACTCTCTTGTCCTGTTAATAAAAAATAAAGTGCCCAAGAAACGTAATGGAAATGAGATGGACGGATAGTGGTTATCCAATGGGGAAATGGTCCTTGAATAATTTAGTTAATTTTATATGTAATTGAGCAATTTATTGATTTACATATCTTGGTTAATCCTGAATTGTGTAATCAGTCACTTAGTTTCTCACTCTCCTTATTTATAGAGTCATTTTATGATTTCAGAGATGGAATCATTTTTATTTGACTGTATCCCCTGTGGTATTCCCTGAGCCAGCCAGGAAAACCTCTAATTAAATGCAGAACAACCAAGTCCATCCAAGTAATTTCCAGAGCCAGCACTTAGATCAGCATTGTCTCCTGAAGGATAGATAGCTTCTGGTTTTGGTCAAAGCATCCAAGGTTTATTCTAACTTGGAACTTGTCACTTTGACAAAGGGGAGTTGCTTGCTTGAATTGCCTACAGGGAAAACACTGCAATGTGATAAATATAGCCAGAAATTGTAAAGGTACAGTGGTCCTCTGTTGGAACCATATTTAGGATTAGGAGTACTAATCATGTATAGTGTGTGCTTAAATATATCTGTTTTAATGCTTTAGGAAAGTGTAAAATGCAGAAGAATTTAAAATACACATGCAAACACACACACACACACACACACACACACACACACACACACACACATAATCCAAACTCTAAATGTCTGCATTTTTTCTAGGCTTTTTTCTCCAAGTATTTAAACTAGAAGAGTTTATAATAAGCAAACAACCAATTCCACTTTAATTTGCATTCCCATATCTCTTTATGCTCAATGTTAAACATTCTGATTTTTAAAAAGCAAAGTTAAAATGTCTCTAACTAAAGGACAAAGGATACAGGGGATCCTATAAAGAGGAGGGAGATATAAATCTGAAAAATTGAAAAATATTAAATGCGGATCTGTGATTTAGTGATTGCATTTCTGGATTTAATAGAATTATTGTTCGTTTCTTTTTCTTTCTCTCTGTCACCCTCCCTCCCTCCCTTCTTTCCCTTCCTCTCTCTCTCTCTCTCCCTTCCTTCCTTCCTTCCTTTCATCCTTTCTCTCTTCTCTCTCTACAATCCGAAAGGTAACCATGGAGGATTTCAGTAAACCTCTCAGACATTCAGCACTATCTCACGAAATTCTGGGGGTATGGTAAATTTTTCCACTAGATTTTAATTTTCAGTAACAAATTAAACCTCCTGCCATACTCCACACACTCAGTCTTTAGCCTTTGTGTGGTGAGATGATGTAATTCCGGTATGTTTTGTGTGCTGCGGGTTTTGTGGTGTGTTTTGTGTATCTGTTTCTCTTCGAGAGTATTTTGCAGTGTTGACACGCTGTGGGCTCAGACTGGCAGTGAAGTACAGACGGGTACTATGCCACTTTTTTTAATGAAAAATACATTTGGTCATTCACATTAAAATGAGCTGTTTTACATGCATGTTTAATGTTATAAGATTATTTTGCTTTTGCCTCTTTATATATTATTTTAAAATATATTATTCATTACATGTTTTTCTTTTTTATATATTTTATTGATTATATTATTCATTACATTTAAAGTCTTAGGTTATTAGCTGGAATTTCAGTCTCTTTTAGGCAACGGTTCATAACAATGTTAATCCTCACTCTAGAAATGAAGGCTTCCTTTTTTTAAAACATAACTTAACCTTTCTATGATTTGTTTCCATTGCTGGAAATTAATATCATTATAACTGTATCATGGCAATAGTGGTCACCTTTTTAGAACCTTTGGAAGCATTGGATACAGTTTAGAGCAGCCGCCTGCACAGATACGCATTTCCATTGCTTGTAGTGACATGTACTAATTAGAGGCCAAAGTATAATGGGAGGCTTGGCTTGCATACGTGTTAAAAGGTTTACAAGAAGAGAAATTTTGTGTGAAAAGCATTAAAGGGATGACATTGTATTTTACTCATGCTGTTTGCTGTTCCTGCCTGGAACAGCTTTTGTTGTATGAGCAAGAGATTGCAGTTACTACGGATGGCCTTTCAGTCATGTGAGTTGACTTTATCCCATGTTATAATGTCAGAAACTGTGAGTCGGGGCATTCTCTCAGTTCTCAAAAGTATATGTTGTGGCAGGGACCGCAACTTCAGGGTTTGTGGGGTTTTTTTAATTCTTTATCTGTCGTTAGTGGGGAAAAGGCTTTTTTAATTTTTGTTGTCAACCATTTTAGAACACTGTGGCTGAGTTGCAAGGAGTGCCTGGCAACTGCAATAACAATAACAACTATTTCCTTAAGGTTTGTTTTCTGGTGGGAAGTACTGCTTGTCTGTCCCTGCTTCACATGTGGAATTAAATATTCTGTGTCTTATTAACTAGCTGTCTGCTCAGAAGAACTTCTCTGGAGCTGTGTGTTTTGAATGTTGAATGACAGTGTGAAGATTCTCCTTTGAAAAATAATATTTATTCTGAAACGTTGTTCTGAACATTTTAGGTACAGGTTCTGCAATGTGGACTCGCTTCCTAATATTTAACCCTGGATGTTTTTAACCCCTAACACTTTAAATAGTAATTCACATTAAAGGGAAATAAGAATTGTTCAACAGCAGGGCTGTATGATGTTGGTACAATGCAGTGTACAAAGTGATTTATATCGTCTTTATATCCAGTGATTTTTTTAAAGAAAAGAATTGTGTGATACAAAGTTCTTAATTTTTCAAAAAACTACATGCACATATCTTTAGATATGTAGTTATCTAAAGTAGTTATTTACATGATTTATATGGTGGATGTGCCAAATGTCTAAGAAGGTGTTATATTATAAATAAAATAATTCTCACGATCTTTAGCTGCCAATGACAGAGATAGAGAAGCTTGAAAGTGAAAGTCAGGTGTGTGGAGGGAAGACCAGCCGGTGGTGACTAGAGGAGCCTAAAGAATGGGAGAAATAGAAAACCTTTGAAACAAGTTGTTCGGAGACTCCAGTTTGACTGTATCTCTAAAATTATTAAATGTAATTATATTATTGGGCTTCTGACCCCCAGATCTACAGTAGTGGTCATTTTCATGGAAACCCAGAACCATAAGGTCCTTGGAAAAGATTCAGTGGAAGAATGTATCCACACTTGAAATAACCTAAACAGCACACCGGCGTGCACACACATAAATTCACGCACATACACTCACATAGACACACACACAACCCCCAGGAGGTAAATATCCTTCTCTACTTGAAAGGCCCTCTTTAGAAATACCCTTTGTACATGGGAACAGTGTTATTCCAAAAGTGAGCTCAGGCAGGAGCACGAGCAATGTCCACAGGAGATAGAGGTTTTAATATAAATCTTTGGCTGGGTAGTGTCATCTTTTTGTAGCTCGTTTTCTTTATTTTATCATAATGCAAGTGACTGGAATGTGTTTTCCTGCGATTTTCCTCCAGCTACCACATTGTGGTGATGTTTATGCCTGTGCCAGATGGAAAACACCAAAGAAACTTTATCCGATTTCTCCATGCCATTAAATTCTGCTGAGAGTGTATACTTTGTAGTTCCTAGAAACCATGCTGGAGCAATTCTGTGTTACAATGATGAGCCACAGAGTTCACAGTGTTAATCAGATGCCATACAAACAAACACAAATGACAACATTTTTCAACTTCAAAAACGTGTATAAGTTGAATATAACTTTTTACCAAATAGTTCTAAAATGCTAAACTCACAGTGAGAGATGGGCCGTACAGACCCTTTCCAGTCGGCCCTCGGGGTCCTGCAGTTCCCCAGGCCTGTGCTCCTCCTGCTTCCTCTGCCTTGAACACACCGACTCTTGGCTGCCCTCGTATACCTGCCCGTCCTGTTCACCTTTCAGGGCTCTTTTTGGGTTTCATCCGTCTCCTCCAGAAACCACCTTGGTCTCTCAGCTGGGCTGGGCAGCCTGTTTTTATGATTCGCGAGCACTAGGTGTACCTCTATTATTATTTACCCACAAATCTGCCTCACTAGTGGGTAACCTCTTCGTTGATAGGCTGATTTTAAATACAACCAGGGATGAGCACAGCACTGGGTAGATTAGAGGAAGCCAAAGACTTGAACTGAGTTGAATCACTCAAAGGATGTTAAGATGAAAATTGGGGAGTAAAGTGAGGAGAATGTAATTTAATTAGAAACATGATCTGAGACAGTGATGGAAGAACAGCATAGAATCTGAGATAAGAGGAATGCCAAACCTAGAAAGACTGGAGATTGGACACAGGGAAGGGACTGAAGGAGCACTCTGTGCTTGTTTTTGGCACTTTGGGAGTTAGTAGTTTTCACTGGTCTTTTGCTTCCACATTTTCATTGTTCTCAGAGACCATGATTTTCTAGAAGACTAGCTAGACCACACTGCAACAAAACTGCCCGCATATAAAACCAGAAAAAAATGAATGTACATATTTCATTCTTTGTAAAGCTTTGGGACCTTAGAAATAGCAACTTGGTGACTCATGTTGACATGACTTCTTTTTAGTCATAAGTGAATAAAATGCAATAGAAATAATAGTCAAAATGTCCTTAATGATGTCAGGAACAGTACTGCACAGACAGCCTTCTTCTCGCCGATGCATTAACTTAGAAAGACTTCAATCACAGAAATACATTTTCACCAGCAATAAAAACTAAATGGTGACCTAACCAAGGACTAACAGCCTAAAACTGCCTTGTCACAGAGGTTTACTGGGACTTGCTAAGGCCTCCATGTATTTAAACTGATACGATGCTAGTGAGGGTGGTGGTAGTAAAAACTTACTTGGTGTCTGAAATGCCACTTCCCAAAGGGGCTTTACAATTATTTTATTATATATATATATAATTGAATATATATATATATATACATAATTGAATTGACATATAATTGAATAGAGTAAAATATGCAGATCTTATATAATTTGATAATTTTTATATGTGTATATTTCAATATTAAAATGAACAGTGATGAGGAATAGTGTATATTCAATAAACCACCAATTTAAAATGTGTTTAGGATAGCAGTTTGATGCATGACCAGCACCACAATTAAGATATGAACAACTCAGATAGTTCCCTTATAGAACTTCACAGTCACTCTCTGCCCTGAGCAATCAACCATTCAGTCTGCTTTCTGACATCATAGATAGGTTTTGTCAATTCTAGAATTACATTTGGCATAAAGTATGCCTTTTTTATGTCTGGTTTCTTTTACTTTTCATATTGTCCTATTTATCTTGAATGCTCTATATAGTCTGACAATACTGTAATTGGTATTGCTCTGAGTTACGGTAGATAGAGCTCAGGGCTCATCCAAGATGGGATATCTAATTGGAGGATTTCAGCCTAAAGCAAAAGCCCTCAGGTCTCCACTGCTCTGGAAGATGAGAATAAGTCTGATCTTCCACCTCAGGGACTGCAGGGCAGTTTGCCAGTGTCAAACCTTGATGCTGAGTAAGAAGAAAAATTTCTTCTGAGACACTGTGATCACGGCAGCCCGAGTTTACGCTGCCCTTTTAGAAGAGAAAAAACAAGCACATCCTTTCTTGAGGGATTTCACCTTCAGTCAAAGCCTAAAAGTTTAAGTTTTAAGAAACGAGAGATTACAATTTCAAAATACAAAATTCAAAGGGAAATAAATCACCATAGTATTAATCAACAGGAGAAAGAGAAGGAGAGGGAGGAAAGAAGGGAAGGGAGAAAGAAAGAAGAAAGATAAAGCCCAAGTTATTTTATCACTTATATCAAACTGGAGCAAGTATCTCCACTCATGTATAACTGTTTGTAGAAGACAAAAAATGGAAGTAGCACTACTCTGATACCAGTGAAACTTTAAGTGTGTGAAATGTTTAAGGTAATGAGGTCCAACCTTGGTACCAAAACCAAGTAATGATGAAAAAGAAGTCTTCCAGTCCCATCCTGATCATAAAAATAATGCAAAAAAATCCTCAACAAAATATTAGCAAATCATGTCCAATAACATATAAAAGAGATCGTGGCTAGGTTGAGTTTAGTCAATAATGTAAGCATGGTTTAATACTTGAAAATGTCACTTCTTGCATTTGACATCATATTGGAAGGCAAGAAAGAGAAATATAAGAAATGGATTGGAAAGAAATGGATCGGAAAGGGAGAAACGAAGCTGTCGTTATTCACTGGTGATGCAATTATCTGTTTAGAAAACCTCAGACATGCCTACAGATTCATTATTACATATAATATAAGATTTTAGCAAGTTTACTGGACACATAATTAATAAAACATGCATCTATTTCAGTGTGTCTCAGAGGGAAAATATAATTTATAAGTTACCTTGCTGAAAGGCAAGACCTTGAAAGATAGGCAAGACCTTCATGAAGAAAATTTTTATTGAAATGCATTTTATAAAGTTTATATAAAATTACAAAGAAACCTTGTTTGTAGATTAAAAGACTCAATAGCTTAACTGAGTCAACTTTCTCTCAGTTGATTTATACCTTCAGTGTAACTCCAGCAAAAATAATTCTAAAGATTTTTAAATAGGATTTGGTGAGCTATTGCAAAAATATATATGAAAGAACAGTGCACCAGAAATAACCATGATGTTTCACATGCCTTAAAAGAGAGATATTTATTATTAAATTGTACCAATTAAGACCCTGGAGCACAAGAATGGCTGTCTTGGGCAAGGAGCTCAGAAACAGGCCTTTGCATACATGCAGATTTGATTTTTGACATGGAAACGTGCTCAAGAAGAGTTAAGAAATGTTAGGCTTCTCAGTGAAGGGAAAATGGTGAAATTGCAACCCTCACCTCCATTAGTATCCTGAAGTTTATTCAAGATGGATTGACTAGTCAAATGCATAAAGAAAACTCATAAAAGAGGAGATGGTATAGAAGAATCTATGTATTTATGACCTTAATCTAAGAAATGATTCCTTACATGAGATACTTAAGAAAGCAAAACCATATAGGAAAGTGTTGAGAAAATTGACTGCATTAAGGTAAAAACTTCTGTCCATTAAAAGAATACTTTTGTGAAAGCAAAAAGGCAAACCAGAAGCTGGAAGGAAGTATTTGAAAAATAAATAACTGAAAGAGAATTATATAAAAAGCTCTATGAATCAGTAAGAAAGTCTATGTATAGGCTATTGACTTAGTCATGTCATAAGAGAGGAAAATGTAGTGGCCAGTGAACAACCCCACCGCATAAGCAATGAGGATGTGAAAATTAAAAACCAACATGAAGTATTTCAACTTACTGAACTGCTTTAAAGTGGATATTTTAGGTTTTGGTGAGAATGTGGAGTAAAAAGACCTC